TGGTTTAAAAAAAAAAGCAATACCATCTAGGAATGAATCCTAGAAAAAGACTCAGAAAATGTAAAGACCTATATCAAACACTCACTGGCAGCATTGCTACAAGCATCAACCTGGAAGTAACCCACATGTCCTGCATCAAAATGGGTTCATTAAACAAATTACAGAGGAACACCTCATGGCCATTTCAAAAATCAAGCTAGAACGATCACATTTCATTAAGCCTAAAATGTCATCATTTATAAATCATATCATTATTTTATATGAGTGAAGAAAAACTCTGCCATATAACAACTGTGATCACAAGACATATGCCAGCTTCAGGCTCCCTCTCTCCTGTCTCATTCCTCTGCCTTAAGTCTATCTAGGACACACATCACCACTGGAACAAGTCTCTTTAGGCCCTTTCCCTCATCTTTTTCTAGACGTTCTTCATATTTAAGATCCACTGTTTGGATGAAACCGTTCAGGGCCCATTCAGTTCCCATAGAGCCTTTCCTGAGCTCTGCAGCCTCAGCTTTGTTGCCTTCCATTTCCAGTGAATTGTAAGCACATAGAGACAGACCCTGGACCCATCTTCACATTTAATGCAGTGCACAGTCCAGGGCCATACCACGACGACCACCACCACACCACACCTGTCAGGAACTATTCTAAGGATATCTGTTCACAAATATTAACTCATTTAAGCCTCACTGTAACCACTACCAAGAGGTAGGTAATGTTGCCTCCCCCATTTCAAACAGGGTAAACTGAGGCAAAGAGAGTTATGAGACTTAGAAGTTAGTGACTAGTAAGTGGCAGAGGCAGGGCTTGAACCCAGGCAGTTCAAATAGAGTCCTTACTCTTAACCTCTATGTTACATTCCCTCTCTAAATGATGGTAGACATTTACATTTTTTAAATTAATTTCTAATTGAAAATACAATACACTTACACAGTGCAAAAAAAATTGAAGCTGTACAAAAGAGCATGCAAGAGAAAGCTAGATCAGTCCAACAGCCTAGATTCCAGGGCTTTATCCCAAAGGCAATGACTGCTTCTTTTCTATCTTTCCAAAAATGTTTTTTGGCACTTAAAACCTATTTCATGTGCATCTCTCTCTCTTTTATACAAATGGGCACATATATACATTGTTCTGCATCTTGTCTTTTTCGCTGAATAATATTTCTCTGGGCTTGATGCATATCTGCACCTTTACTGTTTATATTCAATTTATAGTACACGTATTTTCACACTTTAATCCAAGATAGTTTCATGAAGTCAGAAGACATTGGTCGGCTTGGACTTCCATCAGTAACTAAAATGTACAGAAGACATCAAGAGTTGCCTTGTAGCAATGTACAGGCTGTATCATGAAACAGAGACTTATTAGGTGACATTCAACACATCACTTCTGTAATCTAAGCACCTACATCATAGGGTCGCTGTGAGGACTAAACAACATAATACTATATACAAAGCGCGAGGTAATACTATACGCAAAGCACTTAGTGCCAAACCTGACTAACAGTGAGTCTGAGGGAATGACAGTGTCTGATGCAGTTAGTGCCCAATAAATTAGGTATTATAATTAATTGTATTTCCAACAGCTGGGTCCATTTTCCTTTCTAATCTAATTTCCTTCTACTTGCCTATTCATACCTGCCTACCCTCTACTCTAAACCTCCTGGAGCTCACAGACCCCATGCTTGTTTACCCCTACATCTTTGTACCTGTCATGGCCCTGCCCAGAAGTCCTCTCCCCTTACTGTGGTGAACTCACTTTTCCCCACTTTTAGCATACTCAGCTCAATCCCAGCCTTCTCCAGGAAGTCTTCCCTGACAAATGCAGCTGGATTCTCTGGGTGACCAGTTTGGAAACAGCACTGTTGCCATGCCTTCCCATCTCCTGGTTCTCAGCTGTCAGTACACCTAAGAGCAAGCAGATTCAGGGGAACTGATTCAGGCTATCTAAGCTCAAAGATGACTGATGAACTAGCCAGAAGGCCAGTTACTAAGTTTATAAATACTGATGAAAACTATACTTATTGAGCATTTGCCAGGTGTCAGCCAAGGAGCAAAGAGGAAGGAGCTGCTATTATCCCCATTCTACAGACAGGGAAACAGAGATTAGCCAGCATCCCAAGATCAGGCTCTCACCCAAGCAGTCTGGGTGCAGAGCTCTCAACCACTCTCATTCTCTCCTTGGCAGGAAATCTCCATGTGAAGTTATGTTCTAATCAGACGGTACTAGGAGCACGGCAGTAAAGCAAAGGAAAAATACTCGCGCCTAGAAGTTTCAACAGGGACACACCCATCTGTCTGGGGAGCAGAGGCCCAGTGGAGGACTACACACAGCCCCTCCACTTAGGGCTCCCAGACAGTGCTACAGACACTGTACAGTGTTTTGGTACAGACACTGTACAGGAATTGGTATAAACCAATTTCTCTCTTGGACCTGCCACTCCCATTTCCAGACACTATCCCAACCCTCTCCTTCTGAGGATACAAAATTTAAGTTTAAGTGTTCTGGCTACAAACACATTCCAATCATGCCTTCCTAGGGTTTGCAGCTGGGTCAATTTGGTTGAACTTACAAATTTTCCCTGAAATCCACCAAATACATTTACAAAATGTCTCTTGGCTGTGTCTTTTCTATAGATAGCTCTTTTATTCTGATTTTATTCTTAGATGATTATTGATTCACTTATTAAATACTTAATTGTTCCCAGGACAGTGTGTTCTAGGCCCTGGAGAGAAAGCAGTGAATCAGACAGACAAGATCCTGAAACCTGGCAAAACTTAGTATGTGTCTCCTGCTTCTAGGCATTTATGACCTTATGGCAACTGCTTATTTGGCTTTCGTCTTCAGTCTGTGCCTTTCAGCTCTGTATTCTAATCTTCCAATACAGTAACTGGCCCATAGTGTAAGTATTCCATAAATGTGAGCTAATTTCAGGACTAAAATCACTGGGCCTCATTGTATTTATCCAGGGGGGTACTAGATTATGTCTGAAATTCCTTAGAGCAAAGGTACAAAGTTTAAATCAAGTTGTAGGGATAGAAAGAAAATAGCAACTACAGCCCGAATCAAGAAGGAAGATATGTCATCTGGTTAAGAACCTTACAGTCATGAAGCAATCGTTTGAGAAGTAATGAAGAGCTCCATCACCTGGAGAAAGTACAGCCTCAAGAACATGTCCAGGGGTCAGAGACTTGCAGCAAAGTCTGAGTTGGGATCACTGAGTGGAGGAGGGATGAGGGGGTGAGGTAGTCCTTTGTCTAGAAGTCACATACTAGACGTGTGGGAAGAAGCATGTATTGTGGGAAAGGGGTAGAGGCATGAAGCCAGGCCTTAGAAAATACTGACAGGCAGATGTGGGAAGAGAAGGAGCGAAGACAAGTAAAAAAGTCCAGCCACAAACTTAAGATGGCCACAATAGCTCCAAGTCAAGAAGGCCAACCAAGAGGAGATTCACAACAAAAAGAAAGTGTGGCTCACCATGTCAAACATTTACCGTCAAGGTCAAGGGAAATGAGTGTCAGTTACTGCATCTATCAATAGGGGGCCTCTAGAGGAGTTTCAATAAAAACATTTGAAACAACCCCTAACATATTCGGGCTCTCTGTGAACTAACACTAAGAGAAAATGGCATCCTACTTTTCCTGTAACTTCAAAATAAAGCAATTCCTTTTTCAAACCAACATTCTTTGTCTACCTGGGGAAGGTCCTCATTTTCCACTAAGGACAAAGTCATGGGAGGGAAAAGGGGAGACTGGACACTCAATCCATGTGATGCCCCAGTGTGCTAGCTCTCAGGTACTATCATTTTCCTATAGACTTGGAAGACACACTTGACATAAAGCTTCTGGTGTATCAGGCTTCAGAATTTCAACAGAATAAACATTCACTAAAATATTCAACAGAATAATGTGCAACTTATTTAAAATCTTTTAAAAAGGATGCTTAAAACATGCTGTCTTCCAAAAATCCAGAGATAATTTTAGATTGAAAAATCTAGGCTTGCCAAGGGAATCTGAGAGCTTTTCTATCTTGGTCTCCAATGCTAATCTACGTATTCATGTGCAAAAATAGAGGAAGATTAGAATCTCAAATGCCAGACTGAAAAGTTGCCACAACAAACCTGAACTCTTCATATGGAGTTTATCTTGTCAGCCAGAAAGTAAATGAAACAGCAATAAACTAAACTTTTTACTTAAAAGATAAAAAGAGAAATTCCAAACATGAAATATTTCCTGGACTTGTAAAGGAAATTAAAAAAAGAAAGATACCGTGAATGGAATTAAAGAACACCATACACAAAATCTAAGTATCAAATCTGTAACTAGTCCTTTACAAACACATATTTAGGAGTTTAGGTCTAAAATATGATAAAATGGCAGTTACAGCTTATTCAATAAAATTGGAAGAACTATTTGGAAAATATTTCATATCTTATACCAAAACCAAATATTAAGTAAATAGCTAGAAGATAAAAAAACAAAAAATGAGAATCAATGGAATTTTTTATATACCACTGTAATGGATAATTTTTCAAACACATCAACAAAGAAAACAAGTACTATATATTTTTTAAATGAGTGTTACCTTTGACCTCTTGTAAATTGAGGTCCTAAAACAGGCAAATCCTTATGGCAGAATTAGCTTGTGATGAATTGGAAACAATCTACATTGTTCATCAGTACGGCTTAGTGAAACGAAGGTATACACTGGTATACTATAAAATCCATAAAAATGATAATATGTGTCTGTATTTATTGATACCACGAAAATATTAGCATTGACTGTTATTGAGCAGTAGGTTGGTAGACGACTATTTTAAAAAGTATTGTCACAGTACTTTTTGTGTTGTCTTCAGTGTGAGGAGAACGAATTGCTTTTATAATGGAGGTGAACGGTGGGAACAAGCTATTTCCAAATTGGGGCCTCCCCAAGCTATTTATCTGGCAAATTTTGTAAGGAGTATAAACAAAATAATCGTGCCAACCAGAGAGACACACCTCTGACCCTGCGCTTGCCCCACGGGCGTGGGTCCTTCATTCTCAAACCCGGCCTCCTGGGGTCCTCGCGAAACCTCCCCCGGGCCGACAGCGCCAGCGGGCTCAGCAGGGCCGGAAAGCCGCGTTCCACCGCAGGGAAGGTGCACGCAGCCAGCAAGGCAGCCGCGGGGCGGCGTGAGGGCCGCGTCCCCAACCAGTCCCGGCGGACCCCGGCAGCCACAGGCCGCCGTCCCTCCGCGAATTGCTCCGCGGGCTTCCGGGAGCGGGTCGCGGCGCCAGCGCAACCTCCCGGCCCTGACGGCCAGAGAGAGTGCTCCCATCCCTCCGTCGCGCGACTGCGGGGTCCCCGCCGCGTCCCCGCTCCCAGGCACGAGCCAGGAAGCCCCTCCGGGCTTCCGTCCGCCCGGCCAGCGCCCCCAGAGCCCGGCGTCCTCCACAGCGGACGGGCAAGGGGCGGGAACCCATGGCCCCGAGGGGGGCAGCGCCCCGCGAGCTCTTCCAGTCGCCAGTCCCGGCCGCGACCCACCACCCACCGGCCGCCCCCCAAGCCCGCCCGCCTGCCTGCCTGCGTCAGGCAGCGCCCACTCGTGTCCGCTCCTCACCTGCGACGCGCCCCGGCCCCCAGCGCACCGCCCGGACCGGCTGTGTACACCGGAAATGACGTCTCCGGGCCGGCCCCGCCCCCGCCCCAGGCGGACGCCGGGGCGGCCGCGGACAGAGCGATTTGGAGACGACCCCTGCTGCGCGAGCCTGGCGGGGGCGGTGCATTGGACCTCCTTTCTTAGGGAGTGAGGATCTCCGTGTGGGACAGCTAGGGCGGGATTGAAGACTGGGGGCCAGAACCTGGAGGGCCACCCCGATTGTTCACTGGCCTCCGGGAGGGAGGGGTCCGCTGCGTCCTCACGGATTATTGAAATTCATTTCTAAAATATTGAGTTTACTAGATGCCGCACCCTGACAGACACTAGAAACCAGATAATACCCTCACCCTCATAGTTTTATTCTCTAGTGGTGGAAACAGTAAAATTGTCATAAATACGCGTGATGATATAGTGCCAATTGTGACAAGTGGTAGGATGGGAAAGTGGAAGAAGGAGGAAGTTCCTTGACCTAGTGAGGGCGAGTGATCAGGGAATTCTTCGCACGAGCTGAGGTCCTAAAGGGGAAAATTAAAAAACAACAGCAAAAACCTGGAGCAGCAGGGAAGAAAGGCAGAAAAAATCGTATGTTTTCAATAGCTTTGTGTTCAAGAAACTAGGTGGTAAGGAGGTCTTGCCTGAGACCATTGGAACACTAATAAGTTTTAAGCATGGGGTGATTTTACCATACACATGGGTTTAAAGGATTAATTACTTGGGCTGCATTGTGGAGAAGGTCTAGAGAGACAAGGCAAAAGTGGATGTAGATTTATATGCTCATGCTCATAGCAGCGTTATTCATAATAGTCAAGGTGAAAGCAATCCACTGTACATGGATGAATGAATGGATAAACAAAATACGGTATATGCATACAACAGAATATTATTCAGCCTTAAAAAGGGAGGGAATTCTAATCCATGCTATAAATGGACAAACTGTGAGGACATTCTGCTAAGTGAAATAAGCCCGTTGCAAAAGAACAGATATTCATATGGGATACCTAGAATAGTCAAGTTCATAGAGACAGAAAGTGGAGTGGTAGTTGCCAGAGACTGAAGTGAAGGAAGCATAGGTAGTTTGTATTTAATAGGTACAGAGTTTCAGTTTGGAAAGATGAAGTTCCGGAGATGGATGGGATGACGGCTACACAAAAGCATGAATGTACTTAATGCCACAAAACTATACATGTAAAAATGTTTTAAAATGGTAAATTTTACGTATATTTTATCACTATAAATAAATAGATTTAGAGATCAGTTAGGAAGCTATTTTGATTGTCCAAGCAAAAGGTGATTCTGATTTAGATCTGGACCTCCAGTTTTCTTCGTTCTTGAACATTTATCAGAAAAAAGTTTGTCACCTAAATTTTATTTATATTATGTATGTGCATTACACTACTAACATACTATTTACATTATGAAACATACGTAAAGAGAGTTGTAAAAGTTTTAAAACCCCTAGTATATATAGAAGTTCTAATAATTACTGCCTGTACCCTAACAGATTGCCTTCTTATACTGGTGGGTATGGGAACCTGGCTTTGAAGGCCAGGCACAGACTATGGTGGTGGCAATGGGGAATAAAGCTGATGCAAGTCAGTGATGAAATAGATACAGAGGGTCAGGAAGAGGGATCTAAATCTCTCCTGAAACTCTGGGAAGAGTCATTGTAGTGGTAACAGTCACAATGCTGGGAAGCTCCTGAGGAAGACCACATTTGCAAGGGTGGAAGATAGAAAGGTGGCCATGAGTTCCATGGGAAACATATCATCAAGGAGGAAGCACCACCAGGCAGTTGGGGATGAGGGTCTGGAGCCCAAGAGTGCTGGAGATGTCACGAGCTTGGGTGGTCGTTGAAGCTGTAAGTGGGAGTTGGAAGTGGGTGTGGATTGAAAGGAGGCTTTTTTGGTGATTGTGTTTTGCAGGTGGAAAAGACTTAAACATGTTTCAAGATTAGAGAGGAAGATTCAGTGATAGAAAGACTCTGAATCTATAGGAGTGAGATGATGTGGTTCATATGTGAGGCTCTGAAAAGGCTTGAGGGGTCTGAAATGCTTGGCAGTGGGTTTACCTCTGGCAGCACCAAAGAGTGAGGATAGCTTGGGAATGGAGGTGTAAGGGGAGTGGAAAGTGGAAAAAGCTCTGAAAGCAGAAAGGTGAGTTGACAGGAGAAATGTGGCAGAACTTCCAAACTGTACTAAGGATCTATTTCAGGTTGATTACCATTAATTTAGAGTACAACCCTCTTTCTTATTAAGTGACTTGCCCCAGCAGCTTTCAGGTAAAAGTGCAGAAGGTGGAGTAAGGATTCACCACCTGGGGGTTGAATAACAGAGGGGCGAGAGTGTTACTAACTCTTGTGGAACCTAAGTTACGGGAGGAGGGATGTGAGGTGGAAGAGGACATCCAGGTTGGAAGAAGTGTCCCTGGGTGCTGCTGCTATCTTACCTATGTAGGCTGGAAAAGGAACCAGGCTGATGGTGGATGGCTTCTGCGTAGGCCAACTGTGGCTTCAATCAGTCTCAGGACAAGCTGCAATCTTGGGACAAGCCCATCTCTTACTCTTAGGTCCTCCTAGCTCCTTCTACAGTCCCCAGAAGCCTACAGTGGCCATGCCTGGAGGCACCTGGTAAACACCAGGTGAGACAGAGGCCCCCATCACATGTGGCAGGCTCTGACCCACATGCCCAACCATGGCTACTCACTTCCCTGCAAACCTCATGGTCCCAGGGTCATGTGCTGGAAACCACTCCTGCCTAGCATCGTCTAGGCCCATTTTATAGACTTCAATCCAGAAACCCATTCAGCCATTTGTGCAGTTCCTATTTGAGCTCAGGGTGTACACCACCATCTTTGGGGCCCCTTTGCTGGCCTCTGTGGTCCTCTGTGTACCAGGCTGTCTTGGGCCTCTCAGCCTGACCTGAGGACATCTTGTACCGTGGACACATCAAGTTCACTTTGTGAGTACAGCAACAACTATTTGTTTGCATTCATC